TGTGTGTTTTCCTGGCACCTTTGTCAAAAGATTAGTTGATCACATATGCATGGATTTACTTTTCTGCTCTTAGTTGTAGTCCATTGGTCTGATGTCATCCATCCTTATGTAAGAACCACCCTTCTTGATTACTTACCTTTAGAGTAAGTTTTAAAATTGGAAAAGCTGGGGATCCCTGGGTGGCTCAGCGATTTAACTCCTGCCTTCAGCCCAGGGTGTGATCCTGTAGTCCCGGGATTGAGTCCCACATCAGGCTCCCTGCATGGAGCCTGCTTCTCCCTCTGCCTGTGTCTCTGCTTCTCTCTCTTTCTGTCTCTCTCGTGAATGAATAAATAAAATCTTAAAAAAAAAATTGGAAAAGCTTTGTTTTTTTTCTTTTTTTCTTTCTTTTTTTTTTTTTTCAGAGACACTATTTATTTTGTTAAAGTCAAGCAGGATGATGTGTTGAGAGGTAAGTGGTAAAGTGTCAAGCATGAAATATGTACACATTTTCCACAGTGGATGGCAGGATAAAAGCCACAGGCAATGCCCCTGACTGAAACCTTGCTATATAGAGCATTCCAGAGCTGAGTTATGACAGCGGAGGGGAGTCAGCCATCACCTAAGAATGCCAAGGGCAGAGCATTAGCACCAGATCGTGTTGTATGCAATAATATAGCTAAATACAAAGTTATGTACATTGACTCACTGAAATCTTTGGGTCCCCGCTAACCAGATGTTTAAGAGGCAAACGGGATGGGCACAAGACACGTATGATGACATGTGCTTTGCTGAAAGGGTACTAGAGCACTATATTGCTATGTGTAAAGAGAGTCCTCAAAAGACCTCAGAAGGCTGGATCCAGACACATAAATTCTATTATTCACATTTTACATATTGATCATCAAAATGATTTACAATACTGTATTTGAGGGGAAAGAATCACAGATAAAAGCTTTATCTAAATTAAAAGCAAACTACACTCACATTACTATGGTTGTACCCCTAAGGGAGAATGGAGAACGATGGAGGTCCATGGACAGCCAGCTTCACCTTTTCTGAAGTGACCAGTTTTCATAGCAAGGGACTATACCAGGAGGGAAGGAGGACACTTCTTTGGCAGGATGGGGTATTTTTCAAGTCAGATAGAAATAGCTTAATTTAAGAGGAATGAAAATTTGTGAAAAGGCATTTATCTTTTTGGCATGGCTGGGTTGCCAGTGCAGTGTTTATTGCCTGCATTACTGAAGCTTGCCAGTTGGGACCCCTCTCTGGGGTGCACAGACATCCATGCTGTGGCTCAGGAGTCCAGCTCACCCTCTCTGGCTCAGGAAGTATAGACATTAGTCAGTTAAGATATTCATGTGCACATGTGTTTTGGTAAGGCAATGGTCAGTGCTGACAAAGGGACATCTCTCTACCTGTTGGAAAACTTTTGTGGGAATAGGGGGAAATGAGGATCTAAACGATCCCTCCATCAAACAAATGTCTGGATATCAGCTCAATATGAATTCATCCAAGGGGTTCCTCCTGCCCTTTACCAGGCATTGAATCAGATGAGCATTTGTGAATGAGCATACATTAGGTCTGCAATGACGTAGATAAAAAATGAGTTATAACCAAGCCACTGGTGGTTGAACATCTTCCCACATGCTTGTTTGCCATGCACATATCCTCTTTGGTGAAGTGCCAAGTTAAGACTCTTGCCCACGTTCTAACTGGGCTGTTCTCTTACTGTTGAGTTCTCAAAGTTCTTTATATGTTCTAGATCTAGATCCTTTGTCATATACGTGATTGGCAAATCTTCTCTCCCAGTCTGTGACTTGTCCACTGGAAACTGACAGCACGACAGTGTTTTCCTACTGCATAGACTCTCTTTAGAATCTTGGAATTTCAACCAATAAAATGGGCAGAAGAAGATCAACTTTAGGGGTTGTCTAGTTCATAGGACCTCTGAAAAGCCAGAGGAAAGGTTCTTAAAAGCAAATGCATGGGACCCTTATAGCATCGTAGCAGATTTAAGGAGTCAAGAAGAGACAAGTAGCCAATTATCGTTAACCATATGGAACAAAGAAGTGTTCTGGGGAAGGGATCCCTGGATGGCTCAGTGGTTTAGCGCCTGCCTTTGGTCCAGGGCCTGATCCTGGAGACCCAGGATCAAGTGCCACGTCAGGCTCCCTGCATGGAGCCTGCTTCTCCCTCTGCCTGTGTCTCTGCCTCTCTCTCTCTCTCTCTCTGTGTCTCTCATGAATAAATAAATAAGATCTTTTTAAAAAAAAAAATGTTCTGGGGAAAAAGTAATTTTGGAAACACGCCATTGGTCTTGTGAAACAGATGTCTAGCAAGCACATAACACTACTGGACCCATGATTAACCAAGTCATTTCACTCTGCAGGAAAAACATACCTTGAGCCATGATGTCAGTACTAAAGCTATTTGTTCTGTGGGTGTGTTTTAAAGCATGCATACTGTCTTTCAGTGGCGGTTTTAAACGAGTGACTCCAACATGCAGGTTATTCATTTCACAGCAGGGTTTTTTTTTTTTTAATTTTATTTATTTATTTATTTATGATAGTCACAGAGGGAGAGAGAGAGAGAGGCACAGAGACATAGGCAGAGGGAGAAGCAGGCTCCATGCACCGGGAGCCCGATGTGGGATTCGATCCTGGGTCTCTAGGATCGCGCGATGGGCCAAAGGCAGGCGCCAAACTGCTGCGCCACCCAGGGATCCCTACAGCAGGGTTTTTAACTACTCGGAAACTATTCACTTTTCCTAAATGTTAATAAATTATCATCCCATCATCATGATTTTTGCTGGTGGACAATGAATGAGGGACAACAAACACTCCACACCACTGGATGAAGAGGGAAAAAATGTGGCAGCCCATGCTTTGTATGAATCAGAGTAAGATGTGCACTAGGGCTTCCCATCTCACGCACCCCACCCGGCGGGGCTGCTTCCCGAGTGATTGGTTCAGGACATGAAAATGGGAGGAAGGGCAGAGCAGTGACTATAACCACTCGCATGCATGGCGTGAGTAGAGCTCACAGTCTAGACTGTGGAGAGTCGCCGTCCACCGGAGCCCAGTCCAGCTTTGTTTTTTTTCATACTGTTTTGGCTATTCTGGATTCCTTGTTTCCATATGAATTTTAGGATAACCTTGTTCATTTCTACAAAAACAAAAAAATGCCAGGCAACTGAAATTTTGATAGGGACTTTATTAAATCTGTAGACCACTTTGAAGGAGTGTTTTCATACTATAATATTGGGTCTTCTAATCTATGTATAGGAGATGTCTTTCCAAAAAAAAAAGTGATATCTTTCCTTTTATTTAATTCTTAAAAAGATTTTATTTATTTATTCTGAGAGACACACACAGAGAGAGAGCGAGAGACAGACACAGGCAGAGGGAGAAGCAGGCTCCATGCAGGGAGCCTGACTGACACGGGACTCGATCCTTGGTCTCCAGGATCACACCCTGGGCCAAAGACAGCGCTAAACCACTGAGCCACCCAGGCTGCCCTCTTTCCATTTATTTAGATCTGAGTTTTCAGTGATATTTTACAGTTTTCCTTAGATCAGTCCTATACTTCTTTTATTAAATTTATACCTATGCATTTTATTCTTAACCAGTTATAAATAGCATTGTTTTCTTAATTTTTTCAGATTGTTTATTATAAGTATACAGACAGGGTTTTTATAAATTGATCCTGTATCCTGTAGCTTTACTCTGTTTATTAGCTCTTAAGCTTTTCTATATACAAGATCATGTCATCTGCAAAGGGAGATTGATCTATTCGTTTTTTTAGTCTGATGCATCTTCATTTTCTTGCCTGATTGCCTCCAGTACAATGTTGACTAGCAGTGATAATTGAGTATGATATTAGCTGTAGGTTTTTATAGATGCCCCTTATCAGGCTGAGGAAGTTCCCTTCTATACCTTGTTTGTTAAGTGTTTTTTTTTATCGTGAAAAGTTGGATTTTTATCAAATGCCCTTTTGTGTTTATTGAAATAATTTTGGTTTTCTCAATTCTGTTAATATGGTGTATTATAATGACTGACTTTTAAAATGATCCAGACTTACAGTTCTAGGGTAAATTCTACTTGGTTGTAATTTTTATGTTTCTCAAGGTCAGCCACAAGTGGGAGTTTATCAAGTCTTTTGTGAGCCCTTATATGTATGGTCTTCTAGGTTGCCAGGAATATGTAGAACTTTTCAAAGCCCCTGTGTACATCTAATTTCCCAATTTTTCCTCTGAAATATTTTGATCACCTTCCTGTTTGTAATGTCTCTCCACGCAGCAGAGATGTCCAAACAATTGACACTGATTATTTTTTGACAAATGCCTGGGTGGGTGTGGGTGGGAGGAGGAATAGGTAGTACTCAGTGGGTAAATTTTGAGGTTAGATAAAGAAAAAACCCTGTGAATGGGGTTTTCCAGGGAACTGCCAGACAGGTCAAGTGATAATCAGTTACCTGGGGAGAAGGCTTTGAAGGAACTGCAGTCTAATTCTGTCAGTCTTCTACAATGGAAGGTTAGTTTATTATAGTGCAAAGAAGACACTGGTAAGAATCCAAAAGCAGAGATCAGGTTCACAGCTTTTTCCTAAATCCCATTCAAGATAATTGATCAGATTCTGGTAGTGGCATTGGAAATGGAGAGGAACTTTCAGACCATATCATCAAGAAGGAATTGGAAAATATATTTACAGTATAGTTATTTAATGTAATGTTTGTTTATTTCTGATGTCCAAAGTTCACTACATGTTTATTAAAAGATACAGAAAAGCACACACACATAAAAGACACAGTTTTAGGAAATACCTGTTACAGAAGGACTCTTTTTCCTAAGTATGATAGCATTGTTTTCTTTTGTGTAGTTTCATAATGTTCTTTTTCGTGAAAGTAGAGCCAGGCTATGAATTTTAAAAGCATTTATTATTAAAGTATGTTTACTAAATTGATGCCCATAGTACTTTAAACTTTGTAGTTAATTTTGCTTTTTTCCTCCATTTCAGGTGGATGCACGGAGCATACCAGTGTTAGCTAAATGGCAAAATTCATATAGCATTAAAGTTGTACTTCAAGAGCTAAGACGTCTAATGATGTCCAAAGAAAATATGAAGCTTCCACAGCCACCAGAAGGACAAACATACAACAATTAATTTTAGTGGATCTCAAACTTGTCTTAAATCAACAACCTTCTACTCATGTTAATGTCTTGATTAAATATTACAATGCAGAATACCCACACATTAAGTAAAAGAATTCCAGCTGGTAAACATGACCTGGACATTTGTAGAAATATATTTAATATATGTACACCATTATGTTTTCAGGTTTCAGGAGGAAAAATGCAGCACAATATTTTTTTCTCTTGTTAAGGCACTGTCATTTAAGCATAAACCTGGAGTACTCAAAATAGAATTCAGGTTTACAAGATGAAAGCATGGAGAGAAGAGTCAGATGCTGTGGAAGCATGTGTGTTTCTGAAAAGTTAAAAAAAATCTCAAGAAGGAAAAACAGAAATGGCATGCTTTATCCATCTTGCTTAGTGAAAGAGCTTCAGTTGAAATTGTCTAAAGTAGCAGGTACAATGAATATTGTCACAAATTGTGTTAATTTTTGAAGCGGTGTGGGTGCTGACTACTAGTAGTATCAAAAATATGTTCAGGATTGTTTTGATACCTGTATTTATAATAAAAACATGTTGTGGGGAGGTCGATGAATTTCTGTTAAAAAGCCGTTTCTGTGTGTTACATGTAACAGACATGGTAAATATTTGTTTACAGTCTTTGTTTGACAAACCATGCATTTAAGTGAAATCAACAAAAAGGAAATAGGTGTATGGATATGTGATTCTGAGATTAAAGTTAGTCTTAAAATGTAAATAAAATGTGGAATGTGTCCTCAGAAACTGTGCCATTTCTATTATATTGATGTGGTATTATGTACACTACCTTGCTGAGGTAGCAAAAATTGGAATTATTATAGTTATTCATCTGTAAACACCTTTTATTATTATCCTGTTTTGTATACTTCTTGTGAATTGGAATTTGCCGAGTATTTCAGAGAACAAATTACTTAAGTAGTTTAATTTGTTCTTTGGAGAAAGAGGAATCCCAGGTATTGTATTTTGAATTTGAGTTTACCAGAAATACTAAAAAATGTTGAATTCTAGCAGATTTTGTAGAATTATAAATTATAAATTATCCAAATACACATTCCATTTTTTACTTTGTAACCTTTTTCTTCTTTAGTTTCTGTGACATTTCTTCCCCTTATGCTTCTTATACTTACTAATTGGGATTAATTTTATACAGTTTCAGTAATTCCGAATTGAAAGCTCATTTATGTTTGCCTTAACCAAAATGACTCAAGGCTTTAAGTTGCAGTTTTTCATTTCAAAGCACTGGGTATACTACTTTGTTAAAAATACTCTTTTATGAATTCATTGAAGAAAATAGAAAGGTGGTTAGGTAACAAGGACGAATTTCTCAGATGCCCTGACATTTTATATCAAGTCATTCACAGTTAAAGCTCTGAGCTGCTTTTTCTTGGTCAGTAATACATGAAAGTCAGTGATAGTTGTCTAAATTTACTAATTTCAACATGGCTATTTTTAATTTTCAAAGATGTTTAAAATGCTTTCAAATGACATGTAGAAAATATACACAAATTAGTGCATGTGTAATTTATTAAAGTAGGTTCTTAAAATTTTTAAATGGTTGAGGATTAATTTGAATTACAGTGACTTCATAGGTAAGACCATTACTGGTCTAAATCAGTCTAACAATTTCTTTTCCACTTTGGAAATGTGTCTTGTCATACACTGTAGCTAATAACCATTTGAATGTTAAATTATATTGGTGAGCTAAGAATCTGGCTACCTTGATCTTTTGTCCTCTTTCCTTTACCGGTATCCACTATTGTGAAGGGCTTTTTTCCCCACAAGCATATATTGTTGGCCTGAGGATGTTTATTCTCCGTTTGGTTTTTGGGACTATGTATCTCTGCAGAAATCTGCATGCCAATTAGACAGTATCCAAAGCAGAATCCATTTTGCATGTCACAATCAAGATCTACATGGCAATCTAAGACATACTGGTTGATTATAGAAGGAGCTAATGTAAAGCCGCTCTTACTTATAGTAACATTTCTAAGACCGCATTTTTGAAGCAGTTTTTCCTTTGTTTTCTAAAATGGCTAAGGTTATAGGTGTGTGTGGTATTAAATGAACTGTAAAATTGCCTTTGAAATTTGTTTAAAAGGCTAGCAGTTGCGACCCTAGGGGATGATCAACAAATTTAATAAAGATTACAAAAATGAAATTCTTGTCCTACTAGGTCAATGTTCTGCTTTAATTAAAACTTTTAGTTACTAGTTTTCAGAATTGCTGATTTTACCATTATTTTTTCTAATATTTTTAAATGACGGTATTTTATGGGTCAAGTGTTACTTTTCATAATTTTGGAACATAAACATTTGTAAGGATAATGGTATAGGAGTCTTGTGGGTGTAATACAGATGAAATTTTAATTTCAGATTATCTTTTTAAAAGAATATCTTCAATTTGAATAAGTGCTTGGAGAGTACATTAGTTTTACTTATATTGGTTTATTAGTCTGGATTATTTAAAGCCAATTCATTGATTTAAATGTTTCACACTATATTTTTATTGGTATATACATGTGAAATTAATATTGTTTTGAAAATTAGGAGACAGCTGGAAAATACTAGTACATTATCCTTAATAGATTTGGTGTGTATGGCTTTGGGCGGTTCTGGTAGGTACATCATATGATTACAGACTTTGGTCAAAACTATGTTAACCCTTTTAATGAGCATATGACTGTGTTCTTACTTGCAGTTTAAAGAATATAAGTACTAATTATGAAGTCTAGTATAATGAATAATGGGATTTGGGAGGTATTTAAGGAATGTTTTACCCTGATTTCATTTTAGAAGTATATTTTTTAGATTTTGTGTAGAATCATGGTATTGTCTATTACTGGGAAGGATCTAGAAGGCACAGATTTTACTTTTCCAATTAAGTATCAATGTAATTTCCAGTATCAGTTTGATTAATTTTTCGTTATTTTCACAAAAAGATTTCAGTTCTCACTATTTTGGAAAGTATATGTATTTTGTATATAAAATAGAAACATTATAGAAAGGAATGGATGCAGTGTATTAGAGAATTGTTAAGAGCATTGGCAGTTTATTCCCACCCAGTACTGTGTTTACTAAAAAGCAGGAAATGTATGGAAGTATCTTTTATGCTAAAGATAATATGCCTTATAAAAGTTACATTAAGAGTGGATGGAAATCTTACCATAGTTCACACTGAAAATGTTATTTTAAAAGTATATTGGAACATTGAAAAGATATATGCATTTTCTGAAGAGAAAATTTTGGAGGTATTTAGTGATACAGAAAATGACATCAAAACCATCATTTTGTAGAATAAGGAAGTTTTGGGGAACACATGGAGTGAGTACGTGATTAAAGAAAAAATCAGTGGATGTGAAGAGGTTGCTGTGGTATTTACATCCGTGATTGGATATTCTCATCAAAAAGTTAATTTGCCATGTAGTTTATGAAAGACTGACCCATGAGTTTTTGGGCAAGTTCATTAAGAAAAGAACAATCAAAGCCAGATAGATCTCACTTTCTTAACACAGATTCCAGGAATCCTTTTGTCTAAGATGAATAACTGACCAAATACCATGTAAGGTTTGTACAGTGATCCATTTGCTGTCGAATGTAGACTTAATATGAATTCTTTTATCTTATCCATGTTCAGTAACGAGCAGCTGTTTATCTGGGAGTTTTTGCAGTGAAGAAATATGAAAATGAAGTTAATATTTTATTCCCAAAGGAAAGACTAATAGTTGGCACTAAGAATTCAATAGTAAAGAGACACCTATACTCAGTAAAGAAGCAAATTACTGAGTTGAGAGTAAAAGTTTAGTTGTTTGTTCAGTGCAGTAGTTGGATAATTTTTATTTTTTTTTTATTTTTATTTTTTTTTTTTATACTCAGTAAAGAAGCAAATTACTGAGTTGAGAGTAAAAGTTTAGTTGTTTGTTCAGTGCAGTAGTTGGATAATTTTTAAAAATACTTTGTTCAAAGATTATTAGGAAGCACTGACAATTGAGTGTATATTCATGTAGTTTAATTGCTTTTCTTTTTTTTTTTTTTTAAACAATAGGTAACAGTAACCTGGAGAAATTACAATATAATGTGAAGTAAGATTTTAACAGGATATCCTCATATTAAAATATAGTAAAATTTGTTATGATAATTAATGTTATTTTTTTGGGTCCAAGGACGTCTCCTCTTACAGTCAACAAGCATGGTAATTGTAATTGCTTTATTATACAAAGGTGGGATGAATTGTAGTTTAGCAGCCTTTAGGAGACGAAAAATAGATTTTCTTCAGAGTTGATAACTGACAAAATGTTTTACTCCTTTTCAAGCCATGTTGGCCAAGTAATGATTGTCAGATGTCTATATTATTATCATAAATTATCTTTCTATTGCTATAATTTTAAAAAGCCAGGTAATTTAAAGTGGGTGATAGACAAATTTAAAGTGAGTGATAGACTTTTCTTCACTAATTACAATACTCAAGTGAAAATAATCGAGTACGCAAGAAAAGTAAAATACCTAAATGCCTACATTTCTTAATCTTGAGTAATGTATGGTCTTCTCTAAGGAGAAAAATAGTACTTGTGGACTCACTGTTTTGAATTATATTTGTTAAAACATTGTTTAATGCATAAAACTGTACTAATGTTGTATAAACTTATGCTCTTGGGTCTTTATAAAATTATAGAGTAAATTACATTCAACTACAGAGTAATTAAAATGTAAAATAATTTAGAATTGAGGATGTTTTATTTAATCTGCTTGAAATGTAAATGTTGATGTTGTCTCTTTTGGCTTTTTTCCCCCTGTCTATACTGTGCTGTGCTGCTGGATCTCAAATTTTCTAACCTTTTTTTCTCTTGACAGACTGCTACAGAAACATAATTGCTATGTTATCTGACCTTTGGTGTAAATATAAGTCTTTATTAAGTCCATTACTGTTATTTTCTATTAGCCAGATGGATCTTGCAAAGAACTAAAACTCCCGAGACTTTGTTCCACTTTGAGACCGCAATTGTCTTAAACCCTTGATTATGAAGAAGTACAGTGATACTCACTTTGCTGTCATTGTGGTCCTGAATAGGAATAAAAATTATTTACAATTAGTGATGATAGGGGATCCCTGGGTGGCACAGCGGTTTGGCGCCTGCCTTTGGCCCAGGGCGGGATCCTGGAGACCCGGGATCGAATCCCACGTCGGGCTCCCGGTGCATGGAGCCTGATTCTCCCTCTGCCTGTGTCTCTGCCTCTCTCTCTCTCTCTCTCTCTCTCTCTCTCTCTCTCTCTATCATAAATAAATAAAAATTAAAAAAAAACAATTAGTGATAGGTAACTTGATATATTGATAACATTTTAATTTAGGGTAACAGTTTTTCCTTTTATAAAATTTTAAATTTAACATATAGTATAGTATTAGTTTCTAGGGTAACACATTTTAACCAATGAAGTTAAGCTAAATGATGCAATCCCCAAGCTCAGTGGTAAGGGGTGCTAAATACATTTATTGGTTTAGAATATAAACAGCAGTAAAATGCAGTTTTACTCCTCTCTGTTTTGACTACTGTGCCATTATTCCCTGATGAATCTCCCTTTCCATCACCCATGGTCACCTCTCTTCTTGTGACCAGTTCTCTTCTGTTGAGTGGATTTTCCTTTTAACTCCTTCAGGCACTTTTAATTTTCTTCTCTCCATCACTCTGGATGTGATTCCCCTCCATCCTCTTGCTTTGACATCAACACTAACCATGAATTTGAAGAATACTCTTGGGAGGTTGCTTCACCAGCTTGAATCACTTGGTATGCTCTGATTCCTTCCTGCCACCTGTAAAGTGTTCCTCCTCTGTTAATATTTATTTTATTTTATTTTTATTTATTTATGATAGTCACAGAGAGAGAGAGAGAGGCAGAGACACAGGCAGAGGGAGAAGCAGGCTCCATGCACCGGGAGCCCGACGTGGGATTCGATCCCGGGTCTCCAGGATCGCGCCCTGGGCCAAAGGCAGGCACCAAACTGCTGCGCCACCCAGGGATCCCCTCTGTTAATATTTGTAATCCTGTTTCCTTCCTAACTTCTTTACAACTCTGATTGTAGGTCTTTTTATCAACCTGTTGCTGTTGTCCTTGGTCTCGTGTTGATGTTTTGGCTTTAACTGCTGAGAGTTGATGTTCAAGTACCTAATTAATGGTGGTCATGATCATCACAATAAAAGTTGTAAAGTTACTTATAAATGGATTTTAATAATTATTTGAACTTTAAAACATACTTCCAAAGTATATTTTTTGAAACGAAAAATAAAAAATTGGATGTTTTCTTAATTGAGATGCTTTAAGATTATTAAAAAATCACCTTTTGAAAACCAGTGTATTTGGCTACAAAGAAATGTCAGAATTATTTGTTTGGATTAAAAATTGTTGGAATCATGACTACCAGAAATGAGGTAACTTTTTGTCATGAAAACTTTACTGAGCTGTGTTTGCCAAACACATTGGGATACTTGTTTTTAAGACCTCTCTATGTTAAATCCTTGTGAAGTGCTACTAATAAGTTATAGAATATAGATGATAATTTTGAGGTTATATATAAATATAAGTTATGGTCAATTCTTGGTTATTGAATGAGTGAACATGTTGTTAGGAGGAAGGGCACTCCTTACTTGAGAGAGCCTAAGCGCCCATGAGCAATAAGGTTCTTTTTTTTTTTTTTAGATTTTATTTATTCATGAGAGACACAGAGAGAGAGGCAGAGACACAGGCAGAGGAAGAAGCAGGCTCCATGCAGGGAGCCTGACGTGGGACTTGATCCCTGGTCTCCAGGATCACACCCCAGGCTGAAGGTGGAGCTAAACTGCTGAGCCACTGGGGCTGCCCGAGCAATAAGGTTCTAAGGTGAACAGGATAGTAATATTGAGAAATGAAGTAGAGCAGCAGTAGAGAGGAAGCTTGTGCAAATCCTGGGGCGAATACTATTTTGCCGCATGCCCTATGACTTTGGGCCAGTTAGCTTCTGTAATCTTCACTTTCTTCTGTAAGGTCCATGTTTACCCAGAGTTGTGGTTTCATGAAATACTGTTTTTAGTTACAGTCTGATACAGAGTGATCAGTAAATGGTAGCATTTAAAAATGTTACTAATCTAATCATTAAATCTTATGTTAATATACATTTATATCAAGTCTGTAC